CCTAAGGTCAGAGAAGCCTACTTCTCCTTTTGGGATACCTCATTTGTTCCTCCTCCCCCCCCCCGCTCCACCACCACACCACACACACACACACACACACACACACGCACACATGCACATACATGAGCTCTAAGGTCCTGAAAAGCCAATGTCCAGACACATTACCCTCTCGCAGAAGGGTGTTTAGCCTTCAAATGTCATGAACAACAAAAAAAAAAAAGACAGAGATATTTTTCCCTAAAAGAAGCCAGGTGTCTGAGCAGTTCAACAGAAAGTTTGATACCCCTGGGTGGTCATGCATGCCACCAAGATTTCTCACACTTTAAGGCTTGTTTAAAAACAAGACTGATGGTAGTTCTGGAGTTTTCTTCCAGATGGTGTATTAAGGAAAGTACTCCTCTAATTATTCGCCTGTCCCCCCCTTTCTCCCCACCCCATTCTTCCCATTGATAATCTCAAGAGAGAATGTCTTTGTGTGGTTGCAAGTAGAAGTTTCTGTTTTTATCAAAAGCTTCTCTCCTTAGCAAACACCAAACACTGAGCTAACGGGAGGGGAAGCGAAACTTGGCAGCAGACACAAAGCTAACCTCTTGCCTGACCCCTTTCAACAGCATCGCCCTGCAGTGTGCCTCTTAAGACATTTGTGAACTTCGTTATGTAGAGCGGTTCAGCAAAGTCCAACCTTACTGAAGTCACCGATCTTGCCAAAAAAAAAAAAAAAAATCAGTTAAGTGGTGAAAGACAAACCCAGCAGGAGCGCCTTGTTTTTCAGACGTAGGTATCTTCTCTCTCCCACTCCGCCGGACTGGCCTGACCCAATAAAATGTGCACAGTCCCCTCTCCCACTGGCTGCGGACGTCATCAGTGAAGTTCCAGAGGATTTGGGAAAATCCTCCTTTGAATCTGAAAGCTTGAAGCTGGACTGGAGAGTCCCAGAAAACAACGGATTACTGTATTTCCGCTAATGAACCAAACTGAATCAAGAAGGCAGGTCTAGACCAACCCTCTCTGCCGCGGAGCTCGGCGCTCTGGGGAGCAGGCCCGGGGCCAGCGGGAACCGGGGGGGCAGCGCAGGTGGCGAGGGGGTCACGCGCCGGTGGCGAGGGGGTCAGACGAGCCATGCTGCATAAATGGCATTCTATTGATTCCTGATCAGAAAAACTTAGCAAGAAACATAAAAGTTCAAAGAAGACACATCCTCCATCTCCAATATTTCCGATCAGTGTCCCCCTCATTTATAAGTATTCATACATATATATATTGCTTTATAATTTTCATATTTTTTTTATAGAGCTGTCTGTAATCTTCTCCTTTGTATACCGTGAGCGTCTGCCTGTCAGCCACGCCAGCAGGAGATACCGGCGATGACTTTCTGCACGAACCCCCGAACACCTCCCTGACAAAGCGGCTCAGCCCCCGCCCGCCGCCCCGCTCGCTGCTGCCCTGCACCTACCTGGGTCACGGAGTCCGCCAACTTCCCAGAGCAGCTTCGCGTTCCGGCCTGAGAACGAGGTTAACGAAGACTACCAGGCGACCACCAGGCGGAGGCTCGGGGTCCCGCGCCGGCACTGCGCCCCGCCCGGCGTCCGCACCCGACTTGGCTGCTGCTGCTGCAGAGGGAGGTGCAGGGGGCACCGAGCCAGGAAGGGGTCGCCAGGGCCAGGGACTGCAGACTGCCCTTCTCCCGCACAGATGCCGTCCTTCCCGCGGGCGGCCGGAGCGCGTCCGCCAGCTCCGGAGACCTACGGGTAATATAGGCGGCAGAGAAGGCCCCGGGTTTCCAGACTCGGCCCGCCCCTCGCCCGCCCCTCGCCCGCCCCTTCCTTCCCCGCCCCGCGCCGGCCGCCCGGCCCCCTGGCCGAGCCTTCCCGAGCTCTCCACCCGAGTGTAGAGCAGGTCACTGACCTGACCGAAACCACACCTTCCCAAACAAGTGGCCTCTCCGGAAAGCAAGTGACTGGAGAGCTAGATTTTGAAAGGGTGACTTTTCCCTAGAACAGGGACCGCAGAGGAGTTGAGCTAATTATACCAAACAAGCCAAGGGCGTGGTATGCACGATCGTGGCTAATCCCCACAGGTAAAAGCTGGTACATAGTGAAATGAGTAATCTGCTTCAGAGAGAAGGCTGGGATGAAATGATAAGGAGAGAGCCTAAAGATAATAGATATCAAAAGATGGACGTGCAGACCTTGTATCAAGATGGAAAAGGTTTGAGAATAGAGGACGGCGGGCAAAACTTGGCCTAAGGTCAGAGAAGCCTACTTCTCCTTTTGGGAAACCACATCTGGTAGATGACGGTGTAGGAAGACACTCGGATGTTTGTAGTCTGTCCTTGAGGATTTCGTGTGTGCGGGTCAGTTTGCCTGGCAATAAAATGACATTGATGCTTCACCTGATAAAGAAGTGGGAGAGGTTAAGTTTTGGACTCTTGAGAGTTAGGTGTAATTGAGAACAGCAAGCATGAGGAAGTCTGCCTCCAAAAGTGAGGTAGATTCCTGGAAGAGCTGCAACTTTGTCCATTAATCATCAACATTTATTATTTGTTTTTGGGAATAAAGACAGCCAGATTATCGTCTTTCAGTTGAAGAACATTAGAGCAGGTACAAGATAAGATAGTGCAATTTGACTCTCCCAGTAAATGTGTGCAATAAAATAATATTATCAGAGCTGGAGTTTCCGGTATCTAACCTTATAATTAAATCAGAAAAGACGTGAAAATGCTTTATAAACTGCAAAGGACTACATATATGCAGGTGTTATTAATAATACTAATAGAGAAAATGCAACCCTCGCTAAGATTCAGGGTGCTGGAGATTGTTCTTTCTCTGTTTCACTGAAGATGACGGACTCGCTTGATTTCCTGAATGATCCCAAATGAGACTTTAAGCATTTAATTCTGTATTAAAATCTAATCTCAGTAACAATTGTCTCACTCTGACAACTGGTTAATGGACCTCAAAACTGAAAATGGCTACTGGGAAATGAGACACCACCAAGAATGTGCGCTTGAGAAGTTTCTGTTCCTGAAAGGCTTGAAGGGGTCACCTGGCTGTGGCTGGAATTGTCTGTCTGTGATTTCCTTTCAAATAACTGAGGCATGGACATTTGTAGCAATCTTGACTCCCCAGACTTCTTGAAAACTGACAAGGCCAGAGCCAAAAAGAAATGTGCTTATTTCTTTCTGCATTTTGAATTTACTGAGCTTTCCGAACATCACCGGGAGACATTTATAAAAGAAGCAATTTTAAATCACTCATATCTAAATTAGGCCAAGTAATTTGTATTATGTGCTTTAGTACTGTTTCTGTTTTATAAAACTTAAAAAGTTATTTTAAGTGAAGAATTATTATACAGGGTTTTTTAAATTTATTATACATTTTTATTTTATTTTTTTTTTTTTTTGAAACAGAGTCTCACTACGTCGCCCTTGGTAGAAAGCTGTGGCATCACAGTTCACAGCAACCTTTAACTCTTGAGCTTAAGCGATTCTCTTGCCTCAGCCTCCTAAGTAGCTGGGACTACAGGTGCCCATCACAATGCCCAGTCATTTTTTTGTTGGAGTTGTCACTGTTGTTTTAGCTGACCCAGGCCCGGTTTGAACCTGCCAGCCTCATTGTATGTGGTCAGCACCCTACCCAGTGAGCTACAGGAGCTGCCTATTATACAGTATTATACAGTTTTTGTTTGTTTGTTTGTTTGTGTTTTGGGGTTTTTTTGTTTTTTGGGGTTTTTTTGCAGTTTTTGGCCAGGGCTGGGTTTGAACCCACCACCTCCGGCATATGGGGCCAGCGCCCTACCCCTTTGAGCCACAGACACTGCCCTATTATACAGTTTTAATACAGATTTTACTTGTTTTATTTTTATTCAAGGTCAAAGTTTAAAGAGTGTGATGGTAGCTTTTATAGAAAAACATGAATATCATTCATTGATAATGAAAATGTCTTCACTGTTAAAGAAAGACCAAAGAGTTTATACAAATATCCTTATCTTAGGCTGTAATTTCTCTTAAAACAAGCAAATTACTACAGCTGAAAGTACTTCAGCCAAAGTAACATAGACTGAAGATATGAAAGGCGTCCAGCATGTGCTTCTATTAAAATCTGTTGATGAGGACATGCGTGCTAGAAATTGGTTTTGAGGTCGCCTTGTTTCCAGGTTTTTCTTGTGAAAAGGAACAAACAACTTTCTTTTGGTTTCGATGTGATTGTTTCATTCTGACAAATTCATCCTTTGGTCCTGAAGTGGCCTTTATGTGTGAAACTTTCTTTTGCACTTAGACTATAAATATTAAACTTTATATTTGACCATAGACTATAAATATTAACTTTCTAGCCAGGTGCGGTGGCTCACGCCTGTAATCCTAGCACTCTGGAAGGCTGTGGCAGGTGGATTGCTTGAGCTCAGGAGTTCAAGACCAGCCTGAGCAAGAGCAAACCCTATCTCTACTAAGAATAGAAAAACTGAGGCAAGAAGATCACTTGAGGGCAGTGCCTGTGGCTCAAAGGAGTAGGGCGCCAGCCCCATATACCAGAGGTGGCAGGTTCAAACCCAGCACCAACCAAAAAAAAAAAAAAAAAAAAGAAAAAAATCCTTTGAGCCTAAGAGTTGGAGGTTGCTGTGAGCTATAATAAGTTGTATGTATATATAACTTTCCTAAAGATTGAGTTGTACATTGCAAATAATTACTTATTCAAAATTGATTTAAAAGACAATAATAAAATTACATATATATTTAAAAAAGGAAAACAGGGTCTCACTCTGTCACTAAAATGTAGTTGAGTCATCAAAATTTGTGGCAACTTTAAACTCCTAGGCTGAAGAGATTCTCCCACTTCCACCTCCCAAGGAACTGGGACTAGAGGCATGCATCATCATGTCCAACAATTTTTTTTTTTAATTTTTTGTAGAGACTAGGTCTCACTGTGTTACTCAGGCTAGTCTCAAATTCCTAGCCTCATGTGATCCTCCCACCTCAGCCTCCCCAAATGTGAGAATTATAGATGTGAACCCCTGCACCTGTCCTAAAATGATATATTTTGATGACAATTGAACAACCAAATTTATTTAAAATGTATTTCTCAGCAAGATCTATAGTTTTAAAAAATTAGTTCATGGATGAATGTAACTTATGGCTATAATAAAATAGCATTCTACAAAATGCATATGTGGAGAGAAACTGTTTATATAAATACATTATAGAAAGAATTTTGTTATAGCAATTCCATTTGGTTATTCAAGCTTTTTCTAAGGCTATATGTTAAGAGTTACATAGTAACCTATCATAAAAAGTGGATCACATGGTCTAACAGCTAGCTGACTACTTGATCATTTCCTGCTATTTTGTTAGAAACTATGTAAATTGCCAAAGGGTTTGTTATCAGTTATTACAGTCATTCTTTCTTTCAGTTTCTGGGAGGTATAATAAAGGCTTTACCGAAACATATGAAAGTTTGTTTGTTTGTTTGTTTTCTTTCTTTCTTTCTTTTTTTCTTTTTTGAGACACAGTCTCACTTTGTCACCCTCAGTAGAGTGCAGTGGCATCATAGCTCACAGCAACCTCCAACTCTTGGGCTAAAGCAATTCTCTTGCCTCAGCCTCCCAAGTAGCTGGGACTATAGGCATCTGCTACAACTCCTGGCATTTTTTATTTGTTTATTTATTTATTTAGAGACAGAGTCTCACTCTTGCTCAGGCTGGTCTCAAACCTATGAGCTTAGAACAATCCATCCACCTTGGCCTCCCAGAGTGCTAGGATTACAGGAAGGGGCCACTACGCCTGGCCAATATAAAAGGATTGTGAATGAAACCTATCAGTCTTTCGCTTTAGTGGAAATCTTTTAACCCAGCAGTCTCCGAAAGAATTGAAAAAATTAAAAGATTCTGGTGGCACTTGTAGCTCAGTCAGCAGGGCACCGGCCACATACCCCTAGGGTGGCAGATTCAAACCCGGCCTGGGCCTGCTAAACAACAATGACAACAGCAACCAAAAAATAGCCAGGCATTGTGAAAGGCACCTGTAGTCCCAGCTATTTGGGAGGCTGAGGCAAGAGAATCTCCTAAGCCCAAGAGTTTGAAGTTGCTGTGAGCTGTGATGACAGAGCACTCCAATAAGGGCAACATAGTGAGACCCTGTTTCAAAAAAAATTAAAAGGTTCTTAGTATCAGTAACTTTTCTAATAAAATATATTTTGATGAATATTTTTAAAATTTTTAATGTGCTTTTGATTTTTTTTGGCAAAATTTGGAGCTGCAGATTGTAGTTGTTCAAGTGAAGAGCAATATCCACCACATAACCCAGTGTCAAACCAGCCAGCCTAGTCAGACTTGAAATAACTTAGGAGACCTGGAAAAATAGAGTCGGACCCCCACTTAGGTTAATTAATTGGTAATTTATTTTACCTGCTGCTCCGAGAGACAGCCAGCAGCCCAGGTGTGAGAGTGAGTTGCCTTTCATAGGCTTTGTGCAAGCATATTACAGAAGCAAAACGTGGCTGGTTAAGGGGGGATTACAACTTGGGTAGTCATGGATACAGCAATGGACAATAATTAATACAGCTTCAGTTGACAATGGATACACCTCATATCACAATGGTTATGGTTATACAATAGTAATTAATCAAGTCTCAGTGAGTTTCCCACCATTGTTTACCTACTGAGAACTTGGGGGGTTTGTGAAACTTGGGACTTTTCTTCCTTGTACCTGAAGCTTGTTCTTGGCAACCCTAGGGTAAGGAGGGGGTCTGGGAACGTGGCTAGGAAGCACTGTTCTCAGCCACCATGGGGGGAGGAGGGACTTGCCTTGTTCCGGAGTTGACTCTGGGGGGAGAAGGGAAGAGGAGGGAAATGAGCTGGGGGGGGGGGGCAGGTGAGGGCTGGGGAACAGGAGCGGGCAGGGGAAAGAGGGCTGGGTTACAACAGACTGTCTATCAGAAAAGTCCTACCTTTCTTTTTAAATTCAAATAAACCTGGTAATGTAGGTTTCTTTGTGACAGTAAGCTTACTCATGCACTCTAATTCTAAGAGCACAGAATGAAGCTTTAACGTGAGCTTGTTTTTGGATAATAAAACATCACATTCATTGTTTCTTACCAACATTCTCTTTCTTTGATTCTGAGGGGACTCTGTGTTCTTAGCTCAAATAAAACATTTGTCTTACACTGACCCTAAGAGGAGGAAGTTCTCTGCAGTAATACAACTCCCAGAATGCCTTTCACCAAAGCAGTTCCTAGAGAGGCGTGTCTTGGGCAAAGCTGTTGAAAGCCCCGGAGTTGAATTACACAACCATATTCTGAGACACTTACAGGATTTTCCTTTCAAATTCCTACTTCCTTAAACTGAAGCTGTTTATGAGAAACGGTAGATTTCAGAGAGGTTGTACTATAATTAACTTTTTTCAGAGTTCGATTTGCTGGTCTTAAAGTGTTGTCCTCTTCTCCGAGATAAAAGTGAGTACCAGTCTTTATATGACAAAATGCAGTAGAAGGCATAAAACGTGTGAGGAAGTATTTCTTGAAATTGTCGATTACCATACGATGTTGACTGTTTCTGCCTCCTGATCTTGTCGATATTTAAATAACTTTAGAGCTCTAAGAAGAAACTCCCCAGAAAAGGGAGGGATGGGGAGGAACCCAGGGGAGAGAGAGGAGACAGAAGGGAAAGGCTGTCTACAATTGCAAGCCTCAGTTGTTACAAAGAGGAGAAAATGAATCGGGTTTTTTTTTTTCCCACACGGTTTTAATAACAAAATATAAGTCACTAAGCTTCTGTTCTTATTTGTCACTGAATCAAGATGTTCAATTAAACATTAAAGGGTTGTTGGGATTATTTATTTGAAAAAAAATATTCCTAGGACGTTTGCCTGGAATACAGAGATAGGAGTAATAGAAAGTGCCACTTTTACGATGGCTTCAGTAATTTTGTCCGGAAACACATAAGGCACTAGAGTTACTCATCACGTATGGGAAGAACTGACAGAAAAAAAAACACAGTTTAGAGAGGAAGCATCTAGAAAAATTCAATTCCTTTATGTGTCTGTTTAGAAGAATCCTTTCTTTAAGAAAGTTTAGGGTTTGAAATTAGTAGATTTCCTTGTAGACTGAAATTTATAGATCACCTTGGAAAGCCACAGGTGAAAACCTTTAAGGTTGTCTGAGGTTACGGGTGGATAAAAGTACAGAGACAGGCTCAGAAAAGAAAGGACTTTTATGCCTCAGTGTAATGGCATCTTTGTGTCTATATAATATTTGCCTTTGTCCCCCCTCTGCCTTTTTTTTCTTTTTACTTAGTGCTGCTAATACTCTCGTAAGAAACAATATCACTACAAACATTTAAAATTCTTTCACGGATTCATGTTGCTGTGCAGGGCAGAGCATGAGTTTTAGTGTTATCTCCTCACTCTGTTCCCCCCTGGCCTCAAACGGGATTGAACTATCCAGAGCATCAGTAATTGTACCACAGACTCTGTGTGCCTCCAAGACCAGGAGGTGTACTAGTTCATCACTTATGTGTCTGCGAGGTGTGTGTGGTTTGGAGTAGGGATGCTTTGGGGTATAATTTACCACTCGGAAATCACTCTAGACCTGAACAAATATCAGGACCAAGATTTTATCTCCACTGACCAAAATAATACGCTTTTTCCTTCCCAGCTCCTCCCCACCCCATCAACCTCTAACTTCAAGAAAAACACAATACTTAAAATTATTCTAGAATTAACTTTTTCCCCACAGCAAAAATCTTTTGAGTCTGAAATGAATCCTTCAACTTGTTCCCCCCAAAAGACATCAAAATGTTATAGCATCCCTAACTGCATGAGTAGGGAGCCAATAATTACTTTAAGCTTTTTTTCAAAAATATATTTTCAACTTTAAAAAAATCGTGTGTAAATCATGATGGATATTATACAATCTCATGTAAAATAATACTGTGTGATAAGCTTGGTTGTTATGTTAAGCTGTAACAAGACCTCCCAGCAAATACTATGTGATCTAGGTTTGGAGTTGGGACCTGTCCGTAAGAGTAACTGTATGGGTTGTAAGATATTTGTGAAATTCCATAGTTCATTCATTCCAAAGAGTTTTATTGATCCCTTTTCCCTGATTATCAAGGCACGTATTGCTCTTACTATTTCAGATAATGATGGCTTGTTTGCTAAAATGTTTTTGTAAGTAGTTTTCTTCCTTGAACTTTTAAACACCTGTTAGTTGGCTCGGCGCCTGTGGCTCAAGTGGCTAAGGCGCCAGCCACATACACCTAAGGTGGCAGGTTCGAATCCAGCCTGGACCCGCCAAACAACAATGAGGGCTGCAACCAAAAAATAGCTGGGCGGTGTGGTGGGCGCCTGTGGTCCCAGCTACTTGGGAGGCTGAGGCAAGAGACTTGCTTGAGCCCAGGAGTTGGAGGTTGCTGTGAGCTGTGAAGCCACAGCACTCTACCCAGGGGAATAGCTTGAGGCTCTGTCTCAAAAAAAAAAAACACCTGTTAGTTGAAGAACTCTTATAGGAATGTGTATTCCAACTCCTTGTGTAAATATAGTCCATATTTTTGTTACCTGTATTGTATTTGTTACCTCTCTGTACTGGAATCTTTGTTCCTTGTTATTGACAGTAATATCTATTTTCACAGGATGTTGTGATTTATTTATTGAATTCTGTGGGATGGGCAAATCTGAAATTAAGAACATTATCTGTTGCTATCATTATTCTGTTGCTATCATGTCTGAAGAAAGAAATTCTTATAGCATAAATATCAGATACACATGAGTACAATTTTCCCTAAGTATAGCAGATACTACTAATTTTAGGTGGCATATATTCTAACTTTAATAATATGAGTTACTTGCTAGTTTAAGGTGAATTAAAAATATGATTTGCTTATAAGATCTATGATTTCATGGACATTATGGCTTAGGAGAATGCTAAGTAAAAACAACTGAGCCAATTTACTATTGATTTTAAGGGAGTAATAAATTATATTACAGGTAATATGCGGATATGGAATCTCTGAAGGTAGCATGTAGATGACTGATATTTCCTATATGCATTTGAGAAGTGAATATTTTCTGAGCCAGTGCAGTATCTTTGAACTTTATTGGTCCTTGGTTACAGAACTCAATTGACAATACAATTGCCCATGGCTCAGTGGGTAGGGTGCCGGCCACATACGCCTAGGCTGGGGGGTTTGAACCCAGCCAGGGGTCAGCTAAAGCAACAATGACAATTGCAACAACAACAAAAATAGCTGGGCGTTGTGGCAGGTGCCTGTAGTCCCTGCTACCTGGGAGGCTGAGGCAAGAGACTCGCTTAAGCCCAGGAGTTCAAAGTTGCTGTAAGCTGTGATGCCAGGGCACTCTACCCAGGGTGACAGCTTGAGACTCTATCTCAAAATAAATATATAAATAAATTTCCTAATTATAGATGTACAAAATAATTGACAAGAAAATAAATGCTTTATCAAACTTTTACCAGACCTGTAGTGCTTCGTATTTCCCCATAAATTATTGTTTGCAGAAGTGGCTGATAATTCTTTCAAATAAGAATGATAGAAAGTTATCTGTCATGGGATTAGAGTTAAAAAGGAAAAGAAGAAGAGTGAGAAAGGACCAGTTGTCCCAGAGTGAGTGCCACAGCTCCACTCTGCTCGTTTCACTGAGACACAGAACTGGTATCTCTGAACTGGAAGCTGGGAACCTTAAATATCACCGTGGCCGAGGGATATTAAATGTACCATGGTATGTGCCAATGGCCATACACAGTAATTTTACTTCTGAGACTCCATCCTAGGGAGGAAATAATTCTAAACATGGGGGGCATTGCATGAAGATGTTCATCATAACATGACAGTAGAACCTCTGTAAGTTGACCACCCACGGGACCGTAATGAACTGGTCAACATAAGGGATTTGCATTGAGTACATGTGATGCACATCCAGTCTGTGAAAATCAGGTCAGTGTAAGAAGGTGGTCAACATAGGGAGGTGCTCAACTATAGAGGTTCTATTGTATTTATGGTGTTGCAGGAAGACGAGACCCAAAGGAGAGAATGAACATACAAACACCAAGTTTAAAAGAGGAAGAGCTTTATTTCAGCCAGGAGCAAAAGCACAGAAGAATTCAAAATGGCCACACTCCCTGACTAGCTTAGTCTTCTCCTTTTTATCCCCAGTCAAAAAGGTCCAGCCCACAGGTCCCTTTCTCATTAGTCACTTTGAATTAAGCTGGCTCCAGCTTTTACAGAACTTTGGGATTTTTTTAAATTAAATCATAACTGTATACATTAATGCATTTCTGGGGTACAATGTGCTGATTTGCTTACATCAAACTGGTTAACATGACCATCACTTCACTTACGTATTTGTTATGATAAGACATTTATACTCTACTCTTCATAGTTTTGAAATGTACCATCACATTGTGCACATTAGGTAAAGTCTCACCAAATATCCTCCCTCCTCCTGGACTCCCCCCTCGGCTCCCCTCCCACTCCACTTCCCTCCTTCTTTATGGACTATAGTTGTGTTTTATCATTTGTATGAATGTGTAGGGGATTATATATTGGTTTCATAATAGTATTGAGTACCCTGGATATTTTTTCTTCCATTCTTTACTAAGAAAAATATGTTTCGGCTCTATCCAGGTAAACATAAAAGAGGTAAGTCTCCATCTTTTTATGGCTGCATAATATTCCATGATATATATATACCTCAAGTTGTTGTTAATCCATTCATGGGTTGATGGGCACTTGGACTGCTTCCATGACTTGGCAATTATGAATTGGGCTACAGTAAATATTCTGGTGCAAATGTCTTCATTGTAAAATGATTTTTTATTATCTGGGTATATACATAGTAGAGGAATTTCAGGATTGAACAGTTGGTCTACTTTTAGTGCCTTGAGTATTCTTCAAACTTCTTTCCCAAAAGTACATATTAACTTACATTCCCACCAGCAGTGTAAAAGTATTCCCTTCTCTCAACATCCATGCTAACATTTGTAGTTCTGAGATTTTGGAACTTTTTTTTTTTTTTTGCAATTTTTTGGCCAGGGCTAGGTTTGAAACCACCACCTCCAGTATATGGAGCTGGCACCCTACTCCTTGAGCCACAAGTACTGCCCTAGTTTTGGGATTTTGTGATGTGGGCTAATCTTACTGGAGTTAGGTAATATCTCAAAGTGTTTTTGATTTGCATTTCTCTGATGAATAAAAATGAGCATTTTTTTTTTTAAGGAAGCAGATTTAAACGTTAGTTTCCAGGTCCCAGAAAGTTAAGTTTCTACAAATTCCTAAGAGTCAGGTCACCCCAGGGAGGACCTAGCATGTGTATCCTTGGGGTCTCCTTGAGAAGACCTCTGTTCTCGTAGATCTTCCTTTTTCCAGGTAGCCTCTCTCAGTAGTAATAATCAATCACAAGATTCTGACAAAGGGGAAAGATCAAGCAAATTGTACTGTTATGCTCAGGAGTCTCAAAGACAAATCAAATTTAAAGAGGAGTCTTTTTATTGAAGAGCTGACCGGTGACTGCCTCAGTCTCCCAACATGGGGCTGTGAGAGCAGCCCCAAGTGCTTAAGGGGTCAGGTTTTTGAGGCTTGGTCTGCATCCTGGTTGGCATACAGGTTGCCTAGGTGTATTCGGGTAGGTTAGCAAGCATTGTACAGAAGCAGAATTTTGCATTTAGTCAGTCATATATCTTTGTTTCAGTACTTTTCCCACCTGGTATTTCTCAAAGGTTGGTCCAGGGACAGTTGGTACTTCCAGTCTCTTTCTCAAGGCAATTAGTCAAGCAAAAAGTCAGTGAGTAGTTTCTCATCTATCTTGGGAGTGAACCTGACTTACTCCATTGTGTTGAGGGTTTGCCCCTAGAAACTTGCCAGGAGTTAACTGTTATTTTTCCACGTTAACCCAGGCCTAACAATACTGTACTCATAAAACATGATGGGATGAAGAATAGTACCAGCACAGAACATGCTATGTGAAAACAGATTCAGGGTCAACTAACTATTATGCTCACATGAAGTGGCATAGGTATAAATTCACAAATATTCTGAACATGGCTGTTGTCTTAAAGTGGTAGGTTATTTATTTTCCTCCTTTATTTCTACTTCTTTCTATATAATATTCTCATTAATAAAGGGCCAAAAAATGCATACACATTTTAAGAAAGGAAAAAACTAGGGCGGTGCCTATGGCTTAAAAGGGTAGGGGCCGGTCCCATATGCCAGAGGTGGTGGGTTCAAACCCTGCCCTGGCCAAAAACTGCAAAAAAAAAAAAAGAAAGGAAAAACCTGGGCAGTACCTATGACTCTAGGAGTAGGGTGCCAGCCCCATATACCAGAGGTGGCGGGTTCAAACCTGGCCCTGGCCAAAAACTGCAAAAAAAAAAAAAGTACTCAAACGTGACTTGTATTCATCTCTCGTTGTTCAAGTATATATTGAGTATTACAATGTTAATACAGTTTTTTCCTCCCTGAAATGTGTATATACATTTTTGGCACCCCCTATTTGATTTTTATATCAGTATCTATTACTTTTTGCCAAAACTACTAGAAAGCATTAAATAAGCCAAAGTTGCAATGTGGCATGTAAAACTTTGCAGTTCGGGAAAATAAATCTTTACCTCCTTTTTCTTTGGCATAAAATCATTAGCTATGTAAAAGGAGAGGGAACTGAGCCCTGGTGCTAAGAACAAACAGGTGCAGCAGAGCCTTGGAACAGAGACAGAAATACTGACAGAAACTGTGGGCAAATTAGAAACTGAGGACCCTGCAGCCCCCAAGAGAAAAACATCCAAGAGCAAAAGAGCGCTGAGTGTAACTGAGCAAAGAAACAGCAGCTTGGCTTGAGTATTTCAACTGGTTTTTAATAAAAGTAACTTTGCTGACTAACAACAAGTCTGTGTAATTCTTGCAGAAAACTGGTTTGAAGAAGGAAATGTCCATCGAGTGCTACTTGCCCGCCTAAAGGTTCAGTGGCCCGGGCGCCTGGAATGCAGGTGGCCAGTGTGCACATGCAGCTGCGCAAGTCCTGACAGGTAATCTATCTGGCCTGGGGCCGCAGCTCTCCCTGTACAGGGGTAGGCTCCAGCCGTGAAGGGCGCAGAAACCCCGGGAGAGAGTTGGGTGTTGCACAAGTCACTGGGAACAGTGTGCGCAACCAAACCCCATATAAAGAGGGAGAGGACCTCTGGGGCCGAGATGAGAGGAAGGGCTTCTCTCTCTCCCAGCTTCCAGTGTGGGCACTGACATCAGCCTGTTGGCCCCACAGGGGAACCAGGGGTCTACCAGCCCCTTTGGACCCCTGAAGAGTGAGGCCAACTGAGCAGACAAGGGCACATCCTGTTTCCCTTAAGATTATTCCTCATTTCTCAAGAATGCAGGGGCTCAGTGTAGTTAACTGTCAATTAAGGCAGAGGAGAATTCATATGGCTGAAAGTGCATGACCCAAACAGCCCACGGGCGGATCCTTGCTCAGCTCCCCATTAGCTCCTAGACCCTCTCACCTAAAATTAGCATGGTCAGAACTCAATAAAATCTGTGTGGTCAAAGCACAGGGGCCCCCGCTGTATTCTCACCACTTTATTGGGGCACCGCTGGACCCACCTTTAAACCTTTTCTCTCTGTTTTGTGTGTTTACTTTCCCCATTCCATTGATTCCACTTTAGCAGGTACCTCTCCATCCTGGCCAGGGCCTGGTCCCCAACAAGAAGCACTATCAGCTGACCCTTCTTGTGTTGATTGCTTCTGTGTCAATTATGACTTTTACTCCAATCTCGTTGTTTTTTTGGCTTGGAATTAAGAAAAAAAATGGCAGGGAAGGAGGTGTGTACACTTTACCTGACATGTGTGCAAATAGCCTCTTAACTAGTTTCTTCTTGTTTTTATGAATTCTCATATCCTGGACTAATCAATTTATACCTGCAGGTAGTGCACTTATGTCCTACCCCGTCATATCTCAGCATATCCTCCTATTCACCTCTAAGTGTATTATGTCCCTGGCTTGCCCAGCACTGCTTGGAGTCCTACCCCAGCACATGTGGGTTTTAGGTGCCACCAGCGTATGATATGGACCAAAAAGTCTGCAAAATTGCCAACCAAAGCCGTGTTCATCCATAATTATCTTCCTTTTCTGTAAAATAAAAAAAAAATTAGAACTTCATCCTGTTCCCTTTTAGTCAATGGCTTCTTCACAACCACTTAATCTCTAACTAAAGTTAGAGGACCCTGTTGGTCATCTTTTTTATGAAGGTAACTGTATTACAACCCAGAAATTTTCTTCCCGGAATCCTGTCCCCAGATAATTACTGTGAGAGATATTAAACTGTACAGGAATAGCATCTCTTCTGAAATATGAATGAATCAGGTTTGACGTACACATCTAAAAGTTGCAGGTTACTAAGTAAGAAACATTGGGAGCCCTTTGAGTTCAGATTCTCTACCACCCCCCGCAAACCTCTGCTGTTCCCTGAGGGCTTGGGGGGAAGCCCAAGCAAATTCTGTGCCGCGTGGGCTTCAACCTTGGTATCCAGATAAGGTCAGGTGCCTCCTTGTTCTGGTTCTCTTTGGGACCTTCTTGGGGCACATTCCTTGAATGTATCTCTGCTCAAAAAAGTGACCTCTCTTCACTTTACCCCCAAGCAAATACTCTTACCAGAAAGTTCATCAGACACTTAGACACCAACTTGTAGGTGCATTTTCACCCCAAGTGCTGTCACCGTCCCATCCCAGGGTCTTTGTGGTCAATCTGACCTTCGCTCCTCGACCTCTCTGACTCTTAGATCTTCTCTTCTCCTCATCGTTTACTCCCAGAGTCATATTCTGAGGTTACAATATCTAAGATTTGTTTCAGATCTCAAATTTTATTCTTTAGTATCCAACACCCTAAAAAAACAAAACCCTGTCACTCTTCATTCTACTCTTGTTATCCCACGTGTCAAGACCTCAAGCTGCCAGACTCTGCACCCTGTCTCTCCTATTCAGCTCTCCTGTGATCCAACACTTCACTGCTCCCGCAGACTCCTCAGTCCTTAAACATGCGCGTACGTGCTTAATAAATGGTAGTTAATATTTCAGTGCCCACCACCACAACTGCTATTTTTCTACCACTATTTCTATTAAGACTACATTTTTACTGTTTGCCTCTTGGTCTTGCGCTCAGTCTATCCAGCACAACCCTAGCTGTCCACTAATCCCACCACTGCCTTCTCTGCTGTCACAGCTGGACTCCTAAATGCTGCTGGAGAAAATCCTACAAATTGATGCCAAAAAAATTCTTGGTCACACTCTCAGCTGGGTCCTCAGTGGCATCTGAAGATTCTTCTACACGTTCATGGTCAGCTTTCCAGCCCCCTCTTCTCCGGGACTCTTCCCGAAGTTTATGATTCTTTTCCGTCTTGATCCTCCCACTTCCCTTCTTACTCTTAGCAGAAAAGCAGACAACTCCATCCACTTCCTGCCCTTCCCACCACCCCTCTGCTGTCTACTTAAAACTTCATTGCATCTGGAGCATCTCTGCCTCAGTGCAACGAGTGTCCTGTCTCTCCTAATCAAAGGAAGCAAATCCATGCCCCTGGAATCTGTTCCTGTCCTCTTTTTCCTCTTTCAGGAGGACCCTGCTTTACTCACCTTCACGCAGTAAGCGTGGTGAGTGTGAGTATCAGTAGAGAAAGCAGCAGTGCCCTCCCTGGGGCTGCATCCCACTTGGAGGCTCCTCGCCTTCCCTCCTGTGCCTCCCAGCCAGGCTCCTCCCCTCCTCCCTAGCAAGTCTCCATTTGACTCTAATTCTCCACCTTTCACTTATTTTCCAACATCCTGCAATCTGGTGTTTTCCTGCACTTAAAAATATTTAATTCATATAGCCTTGCCGGGAGCCATCTCTCTCTCTCTTTCTCTCTCTCCTTTCACAGCAACTCTGACACTGTTTAGACACTTCTCCAAATTTCTCTCCTTCAGTTTCCAGATCATCCTGGGTTTCCAGTTTTCCCTCCACATCATCCCTGGCTGCTCTTGCTTTGACAGTCTCTGCCTCTGCGCGGTGCGTACACACAGATTCTGCTGTCCGCCGGCTTTCCATCTTGCTGCACTATCACTGTGGATGAATCCTGTAGATGTACTTACACGCTCATACACTGAGGGCCCTCAAGTTCCTCTCTCTGAGTCCTAGACTCGCCCCAACGCCTCCTACACATTTTGCATTCCACAGGCATGTCACACCTAACATTGTCAAAATTGAACTCATCGTGAACAGCTGCCACCAACCAGGATTTATAAATATTGATAACCAGCACTAAAATCCAGCCAGTTACTAATGCCCAAAACTTGAGAGACACCCTAGATCTCATTTTTTTGCCAACAATTTTGAAGTCACATTGATTCCACTCCCTAAAGACCATTCGAACCTATGGGTGTCTGTCTCTTCCTGCTCTCAGTGTCTGCACCTTATCCTGAGCCTGCTTGCTGGGCAGTGTTTGGACAGTTCAACTCAGATCGCTCTATTCAGAGCCTCTCATTTTCTGAGTACGTACTTTAATAGCCTTCCTGATCTGCCAACTGTACACTTCTCCAGACGCTTCTTTTATCACTGAGATACACCTAAACTTCAGTGGTGCCGGCCACTTGTTCTCTCCCAAACACACCATACTCTTCATCCCCACTACTACATTCCCTGACTGCAAGAAAGACCATTTCCGTCCTTGGTGGCGTGCTTTTTTTCTAAGACCTAGTTTAAGTTTCACTTCCTCTGGAAAGACTGGACTTTCATCATTGCTTTCCACCAAAATGGGTTACTCCTTTTACCTGTTGGGTTATTTCTCAGCACGGCGTCTATCTCAGAACTTACTGTAGTGAAGTGGGATAGTTTATTCTTTGTTTTTATATACAACCAGCCATTTTTGAGGACCAAGACTGTATCTTCTATCTCTGAATTCCCAGTATCCTAGCCCAATGCATGACACATTTTAGGTAGCTAACGCAGATTTGCTACATAAATTTTTATTTATTCCATGGATCTCTACAATCCTGCCCAATTTCCTTCCTTTAAAGGAGACCTACCACTGCTAAAGCTCTCTCACTCACAGAGGAAATCATTTCTTCCCAAGGATTAAATGGGAAAAAAAATTCTCAAATTTATTGATACAACACTTGAAGAACTGAATCTAATTTTTCATGAATATATTATGATATCTACTCAACTAGAGACAGTGGAAGGTTGTGACACTTGAGAGGCTTCAGATCCCGCCAAAAGAGTCCCTTGATTTGGTCTTGCATAATAAAACAACATGCCCTGAATTTTTGATCCATTTAAATATAGAAGGTACCTCAAACATGTATACACATTTTAAGAAAGGAATAAATGTACTAAATTTATAATACCCAAGTCACTGAGTATTTGACTTCTGCAATTACAAGAGGTGCTCAACATGACTTGTATTATTTTGTCGTCTGTATATATCTAGTATTGTTGTATATTAAAGAGTCCAGAAAGAATTCTGTAAGTTCTGTATCAGCAGGCTCAACTTTTAAAGCAGCTTGTCCATAGCATTGCCTAGTTTTTGCTCTTATACAACCAGATACTTAAAAAAAAAAAAAAGATTCTACTCTTTATTTGAAATAACGTCTGTTCTCATCTACCTTTAGCAAGTGTGAGTGGGATGGCACAGTACAGGATGCTTTTAATGCATGTAATGGATTGACTTCCTCTGTTAGCACTGGCTTTGTCTCTTCCTTGCTTTATGACCATGACCACGGTAACTAATCACTAAGGGCCTCAGTTTTCTCATTCGCAACATGTAAAAAGGAGTGTTAATCATCCCTTAGCTTCTTTTTTCTTTTTGAGAATTAAATGAGTTAATACATTAAAACCCTTTAACGGTGCTTGGTAAAAACAAGCACTATTAAGCACAGTGCAGTCTGCACTGGTCCTATCCCAGCAGACCAGGCTGACCCCAACCCCAGGTTTCTTGCTGCTCAACTTCCAGAGGGTGGAGGTAGCATTACAGCCTTGGAGAGCTGGAAGGGACTTTAAAGACCTTAAAGTGCCCTAATTTTAGAGAGGAGGAAACTGAGGTCTAGCAGGAGAAGGTGACTATGGCAGAGTTGGGATTAGAATCCAGAGCAGCTGGTGTGCTGGGAGTGGAAAGAGCTTGTCTGAGGGCTTACTGTGTGTTTGTATCCAACACAAAGTGAGTAGATCACAGTGCTGGGGGATCCATGAGCAGGTAGTATTTAAAGACCCAAGAAGAAAAGGAACCAGCCTCCCTTCCCCATTTTAAATGACACTTTCAATCTGTTCAGCAATTCTGAATAGTAATAGTTAATAATAACAATCAAGTAGGCTCAGTGCCCATAGCACAGTGGTTACAGCTCTGGCCACATGCACCGAGGCTGGTGGGTTCAAAACCGGCCTGGGCCAGCTAGACAACAATGACAATTGCAACAAAAAATGGCCAAGCATTGTGGTGGGCACCTGTAGTCCCAGGTACTTGGGAGACCAGGGCAGAAAAATCACTTAAGCCCAAGAGTTGGAAGTTGCTGTGAGCTATGATACCACAGCACTCTACTGAGGGCAACATAGTGAGACTCCATCTCAAAAAAAGAAAAAAAGGAAAAGAAAAATAACAATAAAGTAGCACTCATTATTCATTAATAGTATTTGTGGAGCCTGTTCTGTGTGTCATATAAGCTCTCTACTACAAAGCTTATATGCATTATCTTGTTTAAATGGTCACTACTGTTTCATGAGTCAGGTACTACTGCTAGTAGTATTTGCTCAATAAAAGGTAGTGATTATTATTTCCACCTCCTTGCTATGCTAGGCTGTTGGCACAACCTGTCATTCTTCCTCATGCTATACACTTCCTTCTCCTCCAGTTCCACCTGTTTACAGGTCTGTGCCAATTGTCCATGTGAAATTCCTTTGCCTGAGATGACACCCCTGCCGGAACACCTTTGTCCACCCTTTGAAGAGCCATTCTGGCTGAAACAGCCCCGGAGGAGGTCTGGCCTTAACTTCACCCTCCTCCATCTTACTGTCAACTGCACTGTGCTTGCCCTATAACAAGACACCACCAGAGCTATTTTCTGAGGACAAGGTTTTAATAAAGGTTGACATTCATTGATGACAGTTAGCTATTAGGGTCAGTAGAAGGTGGGAGGCAGGCAGAGAGGCGAGGATGTCCAGCTGTTAAAAAAGCTGAAAGAAAAACAGAAGCTAGCACATGTAGAACCCATCCCTAAATTAACCATAGGGCATTAGGGAAAGGAAACACCACCAAAATATGGACAGTGGCTGTTTTTTGTCAAATCATTTCAGAATAGCCTAAGTATTTGAATCTAGAGGTGAAAAGACTGTTCAATTATAATCAAAGAATACTTAGTTAAAATTTTTAAACTGACACTTTTTAAAACTTTATTATAAATATCATAGCCATATAGAGAAACAATTATATAAAACTATTTGTGTGCCTATTTCTCAGTGGGACATTAAGTAATTCTTATTTTCTCTTTTATCTTATTTCTTTACTCCATGTTTTCTATAATAACCTTGTTTTGCTGTCATAATAGCATGTGTTTTAAAACTCCAGATTCTAAAAAATTATATCAGACAACTATGGCACAAAGAATCTTTAACACTTGTGTTATTTAAATACTTCTTGACCTAGCCCTTCTTAGAAATCTGGGAGCATTCCAGCGGCTGGTGATACCTCTTTTGCAAGCCAGTAGCCACCTTGTTTGAAAAAGGAAGTCACAGTGAAAGAGGAGAAAAAAGCATAAGTTATTATGCAACAGACAGATTTCAGAAATCCCACAGTGTCTCAACCCAGCTATTCTCCCCTGTTCCCATCACAGAGAGAACAGGAAAAGACAGTTTGTCCGAGGAAAAACTGTTTAGACTGCAGTTACACATGTACAAATGAAAGTCTGAGTGGACAGGAGGGAACCCAGCAGCCCCCCAGCCGATGTGTATCTACCCCTTCAGGCTGCCCCATTCTGCTCTTAGCTTCTTCTTCTGAATGGTCATCTGGGAGCTGGCCTTTCATTTCACTGCTAGGAAGGTGGAGTTGTTAATTGAGGTTGATCAGGAATTGATGTGGAAATACTGAGAATATGATGCTGATTGGCCAGCCAAGTGCAGATATCAAGTTAACAGTTGAAAATACGCACTGACGTTCAAGAGAGAAATTTGAGCTGGAGATAGGAATTTGATGATTGCCAGTGAATACATGGTATTTAAAATTATGAACTGAATGAAATCATTAAGGAATGGAGTTAGACAGGAGGGAAAAGGATTTGTGACTGAGCCTTTGTATATTTCAACATTAAGACGTCTAGGAGAGAAGAGGAGCCAGCCCCAAACACTGAGGCATAATCAGTAACGTGGGGAAAACCAAGAGAGTGTGGTGTCTTGGAATAAACAGAAGAGGGAGGGTCCATGTCGCACACTGCTGGAAGGACAACCGTGACAGGAGTGAGAGGTGACCTCAGGATTTAGCAACATGGAGTTCATCAGTGACTTCAGCAAGTTCGGTTTCAGGAGAGTAGGGGGGCGAGAGTCTGATTGGAGTGATCTAAGGGAGAATGGGAAAAGACAGTCTGCAAGCTCAAGGAGAAGCAATTCTCTCAAGGCAATCTGCTAAAACGTCAATAACTGCCGATGAAAGTTAAATGAAGAGACTTTTCTTCTCACACAGAAGAAATAATGCCATGTTTGTAAACAGGAATGAGCCAGGGGCACACAAAACCCGCTGATGTAAAAGACAGGAGAGAGAAATGCTGTAGCAAATGCTGCCCTTGACCAGAGAGCCGTGTGAATTACTGCACAAGTGGACTGCTTGGTTTTGAGTAAGAGCAGAGTCCTTCATCTCCGATAGCAAATGGGAGGGCAGAGCATGGGGTTAGCCCTTGTTAGATTGAAAGAGCTGAGTGGGAGTCTGTGAAAGCCTCTTAACATTGCCAAGGGCAAGGGTGGAGGAGGAAGAGAGAGAGGGAGGCAAATGGACCACAGGAGAACAGCGTGATTGCCCGGCAGCATTAACAGCTCAGTTGCAGTCCCTGTTCAGGAATTTAAAGGGAAGGTGGCATGGTTATTTTTTCCCCAGCAGTTTTATGTGTGCAAAAGCAAGGTTTAACCAGAGTAGTGATTTTTTGCTAGACAAATATCACAAACAAAAGACATACAGGGGAATCAGAGATTTATGCACTTTGGACTGATAGGTTTACCAGGGAAGGCTGGGTGCAGTGGCTCATGCCTGTAATCCTAGCACTCTGGGAGGCCAAGGCAGGTAGATTGCTGGAGCTCAGGAATTCAAGACCAGCCTGAGCAAGAGTGAGACCCCATCTCTACTAAAATTAGAAAAACTAGCTGGGCATTGTGGTGGGCACCTGTAGTCCCAGCTACTTGGGAGGCTAAGGCAAGAAGATCACTCAAACCCAGGAGTTTGGGGTTTCTGTGAGCTATGACTCCATGGCATTCTACACAGGATGACTGAGTGAGATTCTGTCTCAAATATATATATATATATATCATGGAAATTCCATATATATATATCATGGAAATTAAACTGGATAATGAGGTAAGAAAGGACCTCAGGGAGTAAGAGTCCATGAAAAGGGGGTAGGATCCATAGATTGAAGGTCCCAATCGGATTTTAGGATTATTGAATTTTTAGAGATCAGAGGGAAACAAGATGGGTGGTAGTGAACAGAGAGTGTGATACATGAACTTGAAAATATTGAAAAGTTACTATTATTGATAACAACAAAGTTTAGGCTGTATAACTGAGAGTGAATGTCTGAGAATGGGTGAAGGACATCTTTGAAAGAAAGAATTTCAATGAACCAAGAATTCACTGTGTGATGATTCCTGGAATCTAGAGACCCACAATGATCCAGGAGCTAAAATGCCCTGAGAGTTTCCAGTTGGCAGCAGCAATGAGGGCAGCTGATGATCTGTGTGTAGTTTGATGACATGAATTTCAGAGTTAGGGATAGGGGTGTGTGGATTAGACAGGGAAGGTGAATGCAGAGTTCCTAAGCAGCAGTGATGAACGAGAGGGTGCCTACCTAGGACGGGTATAGAAGAATAAGCTGCTCCTTGGGAGGACTACAGGGTGGTTGAAAATGTCACCTACTATGAAAAGTAATGTACTGTCATTTTAACATTATGATAAGGCATGAACATTACGGCCAATTCTTTTAACAAAAAAAAAAAATGTATATCTGGGCAGCACCTGTGGCTCAAAGGAGTAGGATGCCAGCCCCATATACTGGAGGTGGTGGGTTTAAACCCAGCCCTGGCCAAAAACTGCAAAAAAAAAAAAAAAAAAAATCTATATAAACAACAAGAGGATTCCCTTTCACTGGCGGGCCCCTAAAAATAATAAGCAGGCTTTTAAAGGCATTGAATCAAAGCTTCAGAACTTCAAGAGACAAGGTATCAACCAGAAAGGGTTTTCAGTAAAGTCCCTTCTTTTCTGCGTAACAAAATTTTCAGATATTACCTCCACTGATAGTTTGGATCCCTGGTGAGGTTTCTCTTTATTATGCATGAATTATTTCAAAAATCTAAGGAGGAATTCTCCCTCCCCTCTTCAAGGAAAGGAGGAAACCAAAAGAGATTTGCCCCCAATCAAGCGCTCTGGACGGGATCTGGTCTCCCTTGTGGCTTCCTCTTCCTTGTGCAGCTGAAGCGATGGAGACTGATGGTACCAGCTGTAACTTCTCCACTCTCCTTTGGAGCTGAGGAGCATGAGTTCTATTTATTCCCTTCTCTGGATGTTTCAAATAGCGACTGTGTGACCACGCTTAGGACATAATGCAATAAATAAAGAGCAGAGATTATTCCTTATTCAGTTTATTCCCTAATTATAACAAATTTCTCTGTGTTTATTGTCTTTTTCTTAACTAGAAAGTACTTCTAAATCAGAAATGGATTGAAATCTAAAGAACACAAACTTTGGGTAAGTTTTCATATGAAACTTTTGAATTAAGTTGTTTTTCCTAGTTACATAGCAATATGTTGTCCCTGTGGGAAATAGGAAAATACTGGAAAAAGGGAAAATAATGGAAAAGTACCACTTAGAGGCAAACACTCTATGTTTTCTCTTTTTCTGATTATGCTTCACTGATTTTCTTTCTTTCTTTCTTTTTTGAGACAGAGTCTCATTATGTTGCCCTCAGTAGAGTGCCATGGTGTCATAGCTCACAGCAACCTCAAACTCCTGGACTCAAGCAATCCTCTTGCCTGAGCCTCTCAAGTAGCTGGAGCTACAGGCTATTTTTAGAGATGGGGGTCTCACTCTTGCTCAGGCTGGTCTCAAACTCCTGAACTCAAGCCATCCACCTGCCTCAGCCTCCCAGGGTGCTAGTATTACAGGTGTGAGCCACTGTGCTCACACTTCACTGATTTTTTTTAAAAGCTATGGTGGAGTACACATAAGATGTGTCATCTTAACCTTTTCTGTGTGTACATTGTAATGGTATTAAGCATGCTTACATTGCTGTGTTACCATCACTATCTCAAAACTCTTTCTATCTCACTAAATTGAAATTCTGTACCCAGTCAACAATAACTACCCATAACTAACAATAACTCCCACCCCCTGCCAACCAGCATTCTACTTTCCATGTCTACGAGTTTGAATGCTCCAAGTACTTTATGGTACTTTCTGTAGGTGGTTATCAATTGGGATTCATCCTTTTGTGGCTGGATTTCTTCACTTAGCATAATGTCCTTAGGTTCATCCACATTTCAGCAGGTGTCACAATGTCCTTCTTGTCTAGGCTGAATAATATTCCATTGTATGTGAACATCAGTTTGGTTTATCCGTTCATCCGTCAGTGACTATCTGGGTTGCTTCCACCTTTTTGCTGTTGCTGATAAGGCTGCTATGAATGTGAATGTCCAAGTAGTTCTTAGAGTTCCTGCTTTCAGTTCTTTGGGGTATATGCTAAGAGGTAGAACTGCTGGGCCACATGGTAATTCTGGTTTTTATTTTTTGAGGAACTGCTACATTGTTTCCCACGGCAGTAGCACCATTTTGTACTCCCACTAATAGTGCACAAGAGTTCTAATTTCTACACCTCCTCCATGTCACTGTGCCCATCTTAATAGGTATGAGGTGGCATCTCCTTACGGTTTTTTTTTTTTTTTTTTTGCATTCCTACAGTGATGAGTGGTGGTTGGGGACCTTTTACATGGCTCATTCAAGACATTCCAGAGAGTTAGGATGCAATAGTTACGCTGAGTGGATAGAAGAAGGAGTAAAAGACAATCATGTTAGTTTAAAAGACTTTATAAAAGTATATTATTACTTTTGACTAACTACAATTCTGAAATTCATTTACTTACTCAACATTTACTGAGTCCCTACAGTCTTTGAAGTCCTGGGAACCTAGATACAAATTAAATAGGGTCTATCCCTTCAAAGGAAGAGAATAAATATGAAAAATTAATGAAAGCCTAATAGGTGTCATGAACTTTTACTTTCTTAATCTTTGCATCAGCCTTCTGAGGATGTGGTATTAGCCGCATCTAGAGATGAGGGAACTAATATCCATTTCAAAAAAGCTGAACTACTTAAAGGTGCCACAGGTAGTGACTGGGAGGCTAGGTTACAAGCCCAGGGTTTTCTGAATGCTTCCAAAGCTTAGCTTCATACCCTTTTACTCCCCCAGGTGTCTGTTGGCATTTATGACCTAACACAGGAGGCAGCAGTACACCCGGTTAACTGTAATAGGAACAAAAGGTCATGATAGCAACTAATTCTGTTGGATTAGAGTCAAGAAAGTCTTTAGAGAAGTGGTATTATAACCTACAAGTTGAAAACCGAGGATTTCACTAGATTAAATAGGGAAAGGAGCACTCATTCATTCATTCATTCGTGTGCCCATTCGCACACCTGCGCTGAGCTTCAGCACTGTGCTAGTTCTGACATTAGATGCTGAGACTCAAAAAAGAATGAGGGAGACACGGGTGACCCGTGGAGTCACAGTATACTGAGACAGTTACATAACTGACTTATGACGGAGCATGTGTCAGACTCTGCCACAGAATTGAAAGCAAAGCACTGGGACACCACTTCAGGGACACCCTTCCACGGCAGCAGACACTATGGTAGGTGGTGCTGAGGATGGCAGATTGGACCCTCCGTGCCAAGCTCAGGACTTTGGGTTTCACTCTATAGGCCTTAACAAGCCAGCGGGAAGTTCTAAATAGGAAAGTGACAAAGTCAGCTCAGCTTTTTAAGACACTATCTAGCAGGGGTACTGTGTGGAGTATAGGAATTAAGAAAGATACAGGTGGCAGGAAGACCTGTCTGGGAGCTAGAGGTTCCAACTGAAAATGGACAGAGGCTGCAATAGGTGGCAATAGGCCAGCCACCTTTATGAGGGGAAGCTGGTAGATTTTGTCAACTATAGGATGTGTGCTGGAATGAAGGAAGGCTTTGAACATGCTCGTGTTTATAATCACTGCACTGTTTGCAAGTGAAAGGAGCATTTAATAAATAGATGAGACTTGAGCAGCACCTGTGACTCAAAGGAGTAAGGCGCCAGTCCCATATGCTGGAGGTGGCGGGTTCAAACCCAGCCTCGGCCAAAAACTGCAAAAAAAAAAAAAAAAAAAAAAGATGAGACTCTTGAATTATCAGTATTCTCTTATATATTTAGCCATTCCTAAATGCTTTCATAATTTGATAGATATTTTTTCTTCATGTGGTTTAAAACATGCCCTGCAATGCTATTTACACCTGGTTAGCAAGTTTTTCCACAGTGGTACAATTGTAATTTTTATCATTGCTATATTGAGATATCATAGATTTTGAGAGAGTAGATGAGTGAATTTTTCCTAAGATGAAATGCAAAACGATCCATAGATTTACTGAAAAATTCAGAAAGATCCTTGGTCAGGTGAATAATATACATCACTATTGTTCACAAAACTCTTCCATTTCCCCAGGTCATTACTAAGTCTTATAATTTATTTAAACCTTTTCTTTTTGGTTCATAGAGTGTTGTATTTGTTTTCATCAGTAAGTAAAAATATCTAGTTAAGTGATACGGCTTACACCTGTACTGATAAGTGTTACCAGAAGAGGGCAGCAGTGAAGTGCTAGTATAGAAAGAAGAACTAATTTATGGATTTTGAAATTGCCGAAAAGCACTAAGGCTGAGGGTGATGAAATGACAGCAAACTTTTGTTGGTGCTGGCATCCTAATTAATATCAAGAATCGACTTATTTTTCGAGCCAGAATCTATGACACAAATATTGTCACAGATTTTCAGAAAATCTGATGTTTCTGTAATGTAATAAGATAATAGATGTGTGGAAATTTCTGGTAAGATTGACATACTAGGAGATATTCTGAAAAGTTTACATCAGTTTGAAGATAGAAGATTAAAGGATGAAGTAAAATTAAGCATGTTGTTTCTTGTTGTGTCAAGAGCATAGGCGGAGAATTTTAAAAAGACAATAAAAGGCATCTTATCTTTTTTAAAAATTAGAGTTGTTCAAAGTTGGCTGAAATAAAACAAGATATTTCCTGTTTTTCTACAGTAAGCAATGCATAGAATTAAGCAACTAAGAGAGGCTGTCCAAATTCCACCTGTATCTGATGAATCTGCTTTTATCAACATTTAACAGCAACAAGTATTTTTTGAGCTTCTACTGGGAGCTATTCAAGGCACTAAGGCTATACAAGGAAAACATTCCCTGCTCTCTTAAAGCTTGTATGATAGTGGGGAAGGCAGATGTTAAACAAGAACACACCATCAATTCCTTAGTTACAATGACGAAAAACAAAAAATGGAAAACTGTCTATCCAGAGCCCCAAATCAAAATTAGTTTGGACTCAACTCAAAAATTGGAAAATTAAGTGAAATTGAAAATGGGACTCAAAAACAACTTGTCTGAAGTTCTTAATGCCCAATTATATTATTTATTTCCTTTAACAATAAATAAAATGGATAAGGCAAAATATACAGATTCATGAAAATAGCGTTGCTAAAGAATATTCAAGTAATTGCTGTGCAGCGATAAAGCGCTTTGCCAAAATAAAGTGTCATAAAATGCCCCATGCCTCCCTGACCACCTGAACTTGATTAAACTCTCTGCCAGTCAGCCTGGCCACAGCTGGGCTGGAGAAGCTGGACTTCCTGCTGACTCAGTCACACCCTGGAAGGTCCTTCTGCACCTTTACTCTTGCTGCGACCCCACCCCAGCCCCTCTATCTGAAGTGCCTCTCTGCGCACCACCACCCCCGCTCCCAGACCTGCCTTCCTGCGTTTCCACTTGCTGGAGTCCTACCCGTCTTCCAATGTCGTATTTGGTCTCCTAAACAAAGCCAAACATATCTAAACCTCTTTTTCCCTGAACAAGTCATTCTTTACTCATTTTTTGCTTTTAATTCAACCATATGTGATCACACTCTGCTTTTTACTTGAGAAATATTTGTGTCTGTCACCTCTAGTAAACCCTGAGCCCTAAAAATTGTAGAACTATGTCTTATTCATCCTAATATTGTGTACAGATCCTGTCATGTAGCAAGTATCTAGGAAATTTGAGTTAATTTGCATTGTTGGAAGAAAATTGGAACAAATCTTCATTTTCAAGAATGTGTATTTTGAAGAGCTATAATATGCAAGCTACAAAATTTGGAGAATATAGGAAGTTAAAAAAACACATTTATATCTAATAAAAATTGACCCTTTTGCCTTCGTCCTATTTCAGTTAGGATTGATATTTATAGGGTTACATAAAATTGTACTCTGCGAGAGATTCATTTGGGGTGATGAAATACTTGGAAATTAAGATTAAGTTATTTAGGGCCTAGAATTTGATTTTACACTCTTCATAAGATAATACTAGACTGCTACTTTTCATAGATTTTAGCAGAAGACACGAGACTTCTGAGTCAGATACAAAGGACTTTACTACTTATAGCACAACGAGCAACTTCAGCATCACTGTTGACTTCAGTTCCTCGTGTCCTCCGAATCCCACTGGAGTGTTGGTGAGTGGCCCAGTGGATGCCGTGTGTATGGCAGCTAAGGAACAGCAAACCTAGGAAATTCACTGCTTCTATTTTAAAAAGTCTGCTCTTTGTCCCAGAGAGAGACATTCTGTCATCTCTCAAGGTTGCTGCAAATATAATCCTAGTAAGTGGCCCAGGCAAGGAGACATTGAGTCTGGCATTGTTGACACACACCTCAAGAACTTGCAGATGTGCCCAGGGCCAGGGATAGACTGTCGCTCTAAAAAACATTCTGTGAGAGTAAGGATGGTGGTTCTTCTAGCACATCAGAGGGGCTCAATAAATACTGGTTGGATCAAACTAATGAACTAATGAGAAAGGGAATGACTGAAGAACCAAAAAAAAGCAAAGAGAAGTAAATCCCTTGAAGGGACAGTTGCCAGTTTCAAACCTGACAAGGAGGAAAATTCAGAAGGGTAATGGAAGCTAAGACCACCTGCCTTTGTAACAAAGGGCCTGATCACCCTGCTCCATAGAAAGTGAATCTTGGACTCTATGCAAAATAATCACTGATTAAGTTCTAATAATGAAATGCTCATATCTCACTAAATTAGTATTTCAGTAACTATGCTTCTTGACAGCCTTTTGTCAGATACCAAATTTCATTGAAAGCTCTGAAAAACTTTAGATGCTATGCCCATTTTACCAGCCATTTTCCCGCCAAATGGTAAATTAACCTACAAATCAAAGTAGATCATGCTAATTGATCTAATAAATTTGGTCAGAATTAAACACTTTCTTTGAAATTAATAGTTAAATGAATGAAACATCATATCCTCTCAAGATTCCATTGAAGGCAAGAAATTAACCTGAAATGTTTTGTCTGAGTGTTAGAAGTGAAGTACTTGGGGCATATTTAGGACGTTCAAGTTGGGAGTCTGGACTTGTGAAGAGTTCACCTTCACACTGATGATTGTAACTCCTGTTTCCCCAGACCGCATTCACCCTCCTGACTACGAAGCTAAGGGTACAGTCTCACAGAATTTTATTGCATATTTTGACTTTTATCATTCCCATACTGCTTTTTTTCTGGATGCCTTGCAGTGTTCATGAGCCACCACTACAGTATCACTGTTCTCTATCTGCCACTCTTAAAATTGGAGATGGACTGCCTCCAGGGCTCACTCAGATGTTAAGCAACCTTAAATAATGTGAGCTTTTAACCAACTATGGGTTTTTTCAGGCACTCCAAGGAAGGCCTTGTTTTTAAAATCTATAATCTCCCTCCTCTCCCCTTTCTCTTCTTCTCTCTGATGGAATTTCACGCCGGCTTCCCCAAGAAGGTTCCAGGTTAGAGGAGCCTCCAGGTTAGAGGGCATTTGAGCAAAGCCTCCACTCAGACTCAAACCTGTGTTTCCTAATGGGCCTCATGGCCCAGAACCCTCTTCTCTATAGGTCTTGGTGAGTCCCGCGCCTTCCTGAACCTCTTTCCCCTGCTTTCTTTGTGTTTATGGAAATCTTCGTTATCCATTTCTCTCTGAAAGTCTCTGCAGTAGAAGTGATGATCATTTCTTATGCCAGCTCCTTCTTACGAGCATCCAATTTTCTTCCCTGACTACTGAGATTATCCCAAGCAAACCTCCCTTTGACCAGCCCCTTGTTGGTATATCTGTTTAAACTAGGGGAGGACAACTGAAGTAACCCATCTTTTTTTTTTCTTTTTTGAGGCAGAGTCTCATTTTGTCACCCTCAGTAGAGTGCTGTGGCATGATAGCTCACAACAACCTCCAACTCCTGGGCTCAAATGATTCTCTTGCCTCAGCCTCCCAAGTAGCTGGAATTATAGGCACCAGCCACAACACCCAGCTATTTTTAAAGGCAGGGGTCTTGTTCTAACTCAGGCTGGTCTCAAACCCATGACCTTAGACAATCCACCAGCCTCAGCCTCCCAGAGTGCTAGGATTACAGGCATGAGCCACTGTACCCAGCCTTGTGCTAAGATCTTATCTTCAAACTAAGAATGCTGCTATTGTGTTAGTTTCTGTTGAGGGTTTCAGTCAAGAGACCTGGTAATACCAGGGTAAATGGGTCATATAAAGATGGTCTACGGAAAGAAAAAAGCAACCTTTTTTGTCTATTTTGTTTACTTCTGAACTCTCACCACCTAGTATGATGCCTGGCAAATATACTTTTGGATACAAAGAAATAGACTGGAAAAGGGGGTGGGGTGGGCACTTCTAACAACAGCTTCACAGCTCTCCATTGCCTGGTTCTAACCCCACATGAACAGCTATCTGCATTTTCTGTCCTTACATCCATGAGATAGACCTGTGCCCACTCAATGCATTCCTCTTCATGCCCAAACTAGTTTGGGTGTATTCTGTTCCTTGCAATCAAATTACAATAAGAATGTCTTAATTCATGAGTCCTAATCATCGGTCCTTAAATCTCCTTGTTCCCAGAGGGGGTTCACCAGAAATCTTGGTGACCTATTTAGAAATTACTGAATTCCAGAAGTGCTCATGCCTGCTCTTTGCCTAAGTAAGCCTCACCTTTCTGGGATAGGGAAAAGAGTAAAAACTGTAATTCAACTGAAAATAAAGGAATTACCTTCTCCCAGAGTAAAGCTTGATAGTCTTCTTAAAAAGCAACCTCTAAAGAAAGAAATGACAGAAACTCTAATAACGCCAGGACTTTTTCTGCAGAAAGGGCCTTAGCCTCTCTTTGTACATAACCCCAGCATTGTTGATTGAACACGGGTTCATTTAAAGTCCACAAGGAGGGTCAGGTCTGGGCAGGAGGTGCTTGCCAACTTAGACTCCAGGAAGAGGAAGAGCAGGTCAGTTTCACCTTGGACTTCTGGAACGCTGATGGACTAACTTGGCGTCTTTGCCATTCCTGTCTGTGTTCTCCGTTCTTGTGCAGCAGATGGAGGAGAAGGATCATTCTTTCCTGCTCACTAAAGCAGTAGGGAGACATCCCCTGCCCAGGAGGGCACATACAAAACCTCAAAATTATGAGGGGTATGGAGGTGACGAAGCCATAGGTAGTCATTCTAGGTTTGAAAAATAGGAAGATAAAATATTTGAAGGCAGTATGGTGGATTTGTCCAGAGCATAGGTTTGAAGTGAGGCAGATGTAGCTTCCATCCCCAGCTCCGCAGCCTACTAACTAGCCCTCCGTCCTTGGATAAACTGTCCAACCTCTTGTAGCCTCAGATTTCTCATCTGCAAAATAAGAGTAACAATACTTTATAAATTTGCTGTAAGTATTGAATTAGACAATATTTACGAGTTCTTCATCCAGTGATACCAAGTGAAGTGCTCAGTAAGTGGCAACAATTATTGGGATTGTGATTTTTATAATAAAAAACATTCATGAAAAATGTGATATTTCTACGTTAACCAGAAGGGAGCAAGTTTTTTAAAAGTTGAGAAATATAGGGGGTGGTATCTGTGGCTCAAAGAGTAGGGTGCTGGCCCCATATGCTGGAGGTGGTGGGTTCAAACCCAGCCCTGGCCAAAAAAAAAAAAAGTTGAGAAATATGGCACTAAAGCATATATTTAATAGCTCTTCTTCACTGTTACCTTTTTAACATAATCTCTGAGGGGCAGGGAAATATAAAAGAAGAGTCTAGTAAATATCTAACAAGACAGTCGTTATGGGGGAAGTTTATCAGTTGTGGACTCGATCAACAGCCCTGTAAACTCCCTGAGTAGGAGGCACCTGTGAATTCTCACGTGCAGTCTTCCAAAGACCTTAAAAACAATTTGTAAACTGTGTGACCTGTAGATGGCGAACTTGGATGGGGGAATACGAAGCAATAAACTAGAGAACAGAGCTGTGGTTTTTGTTTTCCTGAAGGGAAGAATAAGTAAAATCAACACGTTAATAAATGCTGTTCATGACACCAAAAGGATTCTTTGCTGACACACTGGCTTTCGTCTGAAGGGACTGTGGATCTGTCTGTTGAAGTGGGTCCACCCCCAGGCAGGCATGCACACTGTCTGGGGACTAGAAAGCATTAGCTTCTGGCAAAAATGTTTTTGCTGAGTGTTCACACTGGCTGGTAGGCACTGGCACAAGGAAGGGGTATGGAGTAGGAAACACAAATAGCTTTCTTGGAAGTCTCTTGAGGGGCACAGAAATGCTACTCTGTCAGAATATGCGTCTGTAACACTGTGTAAATATGTCCAGAGTATCCAACCCACATCTTTGGTCTAGATCATAATTATATCCTCCCTTGCTTGCTCTCTTGCTACCAATGTTGGGTATTTGTTCTTCATACTCCCCAAGGCAATCCTTTAGGGACCAATTACTGTCTTTTATTGACATCTTTTCACTGGCTAATGGAGATTTCTAACATTCCACACTGGGCATTCAGGACTCCTAGGGGAGCTCTTTAGCACTTTTATAAAATCTCTGTACCCTACTTGAGAAATATTATGGGGGGGTTCCTTAAAATTCCACTCTGGAGTACTAGTTTTACTGTCCCAGGTCACAACTCTATCTATCTTGGATTTGTGGGAAAACCACTGTGACTTCCCCAAACTGTGCCTGCTGGAGCAGTGGCCTGAGATGTTTTGTTGGTTCTTTCTGTTGTGAAAGAGCCCAGCAACTCACCCAGCGTGATAGATTGATGACCTTTGATGCATTATAAAGCAGGGTCACTGTCCCCAAAGAGCCTCTCAGTTTGTGGGTCAGGTGAAGGGACGTCTCTGGGCTTCCATGGTGCCTCTTCCCTGTCATTTATCACAGGGCTGTAATGATCATCTCCACATTGACCTCCTCACAGATGTGTGCTTCTGGAGCGCAGGGACTGTGCTGTATTCACCCTTTATCCTTAGCATTGTGCCTGGCGTATAGTAGGTACTTACAAAAACGTTGAATGAATGAAAGAATAAATAATACGTGCTTGGGAAGAATAAGAAGGCAGGAGGAAGAAAATACCAATTTAGAGAACAAAAAGAGGAAGATAAGCCCAGCACTCCCAGGAAATTATACGTCACACACAGAACAGAAAAGGGAAAAGAGGAGTA